ATGTCACTGATGTGGCCATAGATGGTGTCACGCTGCTCATCTGCCTCTGTGGGCTGGTCGGGAACGGGGCTGTCCTCTGCTTTCTCCAAAGGAATCCCACCACCTTCTACATCATCAACCTGGCCTTCGCCAACTTCACCTTCCTTCACTTCGCGGTCCCCTCCTCCCTGCTCTACCTGCTGGAGAACGTGTCCTGCTCCACTGTTGTGTCCCTAAAGTACCTGAGGTCCCTTTTCCTGCTCTCCCTGTTCTCCTACAACCTGGGGCTGTACCTGCTGACAGCCATCAGCATCGAGAGGTGTGCCTCGATTCTCTTCCCCCTCTGGTACCTCTGCCGCCGTCCCAAGCGCCTGTCCTGGGTGGTGTGTGCCCTGCTCTGGGCACTCTCCATCGCTGTCATTGTCACGGTTACTTCCCTGTGCCTGTCACAGGAGCACGAGCACTGCCAGGGGTCTCTCATCTCCATGTACACCCTCAACCTCTTCCTCTTTACCCCAGCCATGCTCATTTCCACCACAATCCTCTTCATTAAGGTCCAGTGCGCCTCCCACGAGCAACAACCCAAGAGACTCGACATTGTTATTTTCCTCTTTGTGCTCTTGTTCCTCCTCTTTGCTCTCCCCCTCAGCCTCTCCAACTTCCTGCAGCAGCTCGGGTACATCGTCGTGTCCTCCCAGGTTGTTTTCCTGCTCGCCTGCATCCACAGCACCATCAACCCCTTCATCCACTTCCTGGCAGGGAGGTGCTGGCGGCATTGCTCCGTTTGGTCCCTCCGGCTCTCCCTCCAGAGGGTCTTTGAGGAGCCAGAAGAAAGCAATGCCCATGGCACTGATCCTGCCATGGACACAGCCGTCCCAGCCTGCTGATCCCTTCCACTGCTCTGCTGAAGGACCCCGGGACAGTGCCTGAGGGCTTCCTCGACTCACCTGATTAATAAACATCCATGGTATCTCCCTCCCTGTGGTGGTGTAATCACGCAGGAGTAGAGAGCAAGGGCGGTGTCAAGGGCCATGTGGGAGGGATGCTGTGCAGGGAGCACATTAGAGCATGGCTTTCCTCCTCTCTCACGGGTCCTAGAACGCAATTCCCCAAAAGGAATCATGCCCCACAGGGCTGTGATCCCCAAATCCCCCGTGGCACCTGCTGCCTGCATCCCACTGCGGTCTGATATCAATAAACAGCATCGTGAACCCTGAGCTGCCTTTGCCCATCTCCCAGCTGTTCCCAGCTCCCTCCGGCTCCTGCTGCCAGCCGGGAATGTGGCCGGAGGGAGGGGACACTGCCATGGCTTGTGCTCCCTGGAGCAACCACGATCCCGAGTGCCCAGAGCTGGGCTGGCACCGGCACAGGCGGCACGGACAGGATGGCCCAGGGGCTCAGCATTCCCCCTGCCTGCTCCCAGAGTGTCACACCAGACGTGTCCCTGCTCCCAAAGGCCTTTCATTTTTAGTTTTGGGAGCCAGGTGCAAAGGACTCTCTGCCTTCAGGAATTCTTACTCTCCACTGCCTTCAGCTGCTCCCTCAGCGGGCTCGGGTGGTGCAGCAGCAAGGAGAGGAGGAGGCCGTGGTCCTCAGCACGGCCACTCCCTTCCAGGAGACAGGTGACATCCGTGTTTGTCACCACGGGCTCTGCGGGGCATCAGCCACCTCCCTGTGCCTTCCCTGAGGTCACCAGCCCCACCACATCCCACACCTTTAATCCATCCTCATCACGCCCCACACCTTTTCTCTACCCCCACCACATCCCACATATTACCACGAGTCCCACCACATCCCACACCTTCCCCCCAGCTCCATCATGTCCCACACCAAGCTCCCATCGCACTCCCCTTGCAGCCCACCCACCTCCCGTCCTTCCCATCCCTCCCAGCCCCGTGCCTGAGGCTCCAGTCCCTCCCCATGGGCTGCTCACCCCAGGCTGCCTCAGGAGCTTTTCGGGGACTGTTTCTCTGGGAGATCCCCTTCCAGAGCTTCCCCCGCAGTGTCCCGCCCCCCAACCTCCCTTGGAGACGGACAAGAGGCGACAGCGGGATGTATCCATCAGCTTTTATTGGGGAGGAGGAGCGCGGAATGGCCAGGAGCGGAGACACTGCCGGGGATACCGGCTGCAGCGGGGCAGGAGCGCGGCTGCCAGGCGGGAAGGCGGCCCCGGGGCGATCCGGGATGGCAGAGTGGATCAGGAAATGTCTGGATGCCGGCAATCCCAAATATTCCCACCGGAGGGCAGCAGAGCCCGACCGGCCGCGCTCGGAGCGAACGCCAGGAAGGAAACCTGCGGGACGGGACGGGGATGGGGATGGGGAGGCAGATGGATAGGGATAGGGATAGGGATAGGGATAGGGATAGGGATAGGGATAGGGATAGGGATAGGGATAGGGATAGGGATAGGGATAGGGATAGGGATA